CGCAGCGCTTTGCTTGCTTTTTTTTTTTTTTTTTTAAATTATTTATTTTGCTATCTCCTCTATTTATTTATTTATTTACTCGTCTCTCTCCTCCCGGCTGGGGGATGTGCGGCATTTCCAGGGGGCGGATTGCGCATGTTGGTCCCTTCCCCGGTTTTAAAGTGCGCGAGGCGAGAGCGGCGGGGATGTAAACACGAACTTTTCCAGGTTCGCCCCGCAGCTTTTTCTTCCCTTTTTTTTTTTTTTTTTTTTTCCTTCCCCCCTCCCCCGCCACCCCTCCCCTTGTATTCCCCCGAAATTAATGACTGCGGCAACGGCTGTGCGGACGGACCGCGCTCCGCGTTTCTAGGGGGCTCTGCGCGTTACCGGGGGCGGGGGGGGAGAAGCTCCGGGGGGGGCCGCAGGGGCTGTGCCCGGCGGCGCGGGGATCGGGGGCGTGGCGGCCGCCTCCTGCCCCCCCCCTCTCCTTCCCCCGCCCGCCCCAACTCTCCGCCACCCCCGGGGCCGCCCGGCCCCTTCCCCACCTGCCGCCATCGGGGGGGTGGGGAGGGAATAACCCTCATAGCTGTGAACCCCGAGCGAGGGCGAGGAAGGGGCTGAAGGCATCTGGAGGAAAAACCCTCAATTCGTGCCCCCCCCAACCCAGTTCCCTCCCGCCCCGCGATGAGCGGTGTTGAGTTAGGGGCGCTGGGACGGTCGGGAGGGAGGGGTTTGCTTGGGAAAAATCAGCGAGCTCCGGCTTTCCCCCGGGGTGAGAGGAGATCGTAGGAACGGGGTTTGACCTTTAAGCGTTTATTGGCTACCGAGGTTAAAATAAGCTCGAGATAGGAGCAAAAATAGCTCGCAGAAAGGTTACATCAAAGGTTACGTTTGTTTTCCTTAGGAAAATTGAGGCTGATCTCTAAAAATGAAGCCTCGGAGCATAGAGTGGGAAGGGGACGTGCGAGATTTCTAAGCGGGGAGATGAAATTCATGTGGCTGCTGATGGGGTTTGGGCACCGAGTTCGGAAAGTCGGGCAGGTGGCCCCGCACAGAGGCAGGCACAGGGCCGGCGCGGGGCACTGAGTGCGGGGTTTGGTGCGGGGGGCTCCGGTGCGGCTCAGCCCCGTGCGGTGCGGAGAAGCGGGATGGGGATGGCCCCGGGATGGCCCGGCTGATTGCCGGTGCTGTGTCGGGACACGCTGCAGGCAGAATGGGTAATGAGAGGGTAACAAGTCAGGAAAGGAAAGTTAGAAATGTGAGTAATAAAGTTAGAAAAAAAGAAAATCCCCTGCTAGATTTGGGGCAAAAAATGGCAAAGCACAGGAAGTAAACGAGGGCTTGTTTTCATTTAAATTTAAATGAGATTAAATGGTGCCCCTAGGAACCGAGACAGCGGCGCAGCTGGAGCGAGGGGCGGCTCCACCTGGGCGCGGGGCTGTGCCGGCAGCCTTTAACCCGCACCCCTCCATCCGCCGCTGCCGGCTTCGGGCTGCCCGGGGCTGCGCTGCTCTGCGCTCCCCGGAGGGTTCGGGACGGATCAGCGCTGCTCCCCCGGCCCCAGGCGCGGGGCTGCGAGCCCACACGTCCTGCTGGGCTGTGGGCACGCTGCGGGGGCATCCCCGCTCGGAAAGTACGTCGTGCCGTCGGGGAAGTGGGGCCGTCCGGAGCTTCCCGGTCTGTGATGAGAAAAGGCAGCGCCGCCAGGACAGCGGTGTGGGGCTGGGAGCTTCCCACCGCGCCCCCCCCACTCCTCCGTGAGCAGCTTTCTAACAACGCGCTGCTTTCCTAGATAGAGCCGGGAAATGGTTAACACGGGGGGAGCGCCGGGGGCCGCCCCGTGGCTCTGTGCCCCAACACTCCCCCCCCCCCCAACGCCGGGACACGCCGGGGCGCACCGGGATGCGCCGGGACGCGGCGGTCCGGAGCCGGGCGGGTGCGCGTGCCGCTGGGGGCACTATTTTCTGTTTGTGTTCCTATTTCTGTGCCGGAGGAACAAACAGGGAAGTGGTTTTCTGCAGTCTCATTGCAGCTCACAAACACAGCGCATATCTCAGCCGCTGTTGTTGCTCAACTGTCACCGAACGGAGGTCGCGGTGCGGGGAGCGCGGCGCATCCCGGAGCGCTGCCACGAGCCGATGGCCGAGCCCTGCTTTTCCTGCCGTTTATACGGATTTCTGTGCTGCGTTCCCTGTAGAAGCGGCAAACCTGCGTGAATATCTCTTGTCCCAGTTCAGAACCGTTCCCTCGGTGACCCAAAGGGCCGCCGCACGCGGTGCCACCGGGAATCCCCGAACGCACGTGTGATGCACAGGGCGAGGAGCTCGCAGGGAGCTGGGAAACCTCCGCGGTTCCCCTGTGTGAAGGGGCTGGGAAGGAGCTGGCAGAGGGCGAGGAAACGGCCTGAGCCCTTTCCTGGTTACATGGGACCTGGGGAATGGCTGGACAGGAGCTCAGGGTTTGAGCAGGTGCTTCTGAGTCTGCCTCCACTTCTCTGCTCCTCTGCTTCTTCCCGTGGGCCGGGCAAAACCGCATCCTCGGGAGCTCGCCCTCATCCCATAGCGGCGATGGGGATGCTTCACACCTGGCTTCCTCCGGCAAGGATGCTCGATGCAGCGGCACGGGGTACGGCAGCCCCATCCCCATCCGCCGCCCACCCCCACTCCGCTGCCCATCCCGCGGCTGTTTCGCCCCAGGTCCTGGGATTTAAATTTGTTTAGGCTGATGGCTGGCCATCGCGTTCCTCGGTTTTGCATTTATTTGCCTTTTTCATCTGGAACAAAGGCGATGCTGAGCATGTGTTAGTTCGCAATCAGTCCGGTTTTCGGGTTTGCAGGCATTGGCGCAGTCCAGTCGAGTTGCAGACACTTCAGGGGGATGTTCATTTGTTTATAAAAGAAACCCACATCTGTTTCTATTTGAATCTTTTAAGCGAGCATACATAGAAACCTTTCTCCTGGTTTCTGGCTCTGTAAAAGCCAGAGTTTGGGCCAAGTTTGACCTAAGAGCGACCTTTTCAAAGTATTACAAATTTTTTTGGTATTTGTTTATGACTTTAATAATGATGCCATGTGGGGAACGGGTCAGTTAAAGGTGAAATTAGCTCCTAATGTAAACGGAGGATTAATTTTGAAGCAATGCACTGCGTTTTGTGGAGACTTTGAACGGCTCTGTAACACACCGGCTGGGCTGAGCCCAGAGTTGGAGGCTGGTGGGGGGAGGAATGGGCAGAGAGAGCTCCGGGGGTGCGAGGGCTGGGATGCGAGGATGCTGGGGTGCCGGGATGCGAGCAGCAGGGATGGAGGGATGCCAGCAGGGTGCTCAGCCACCATCAGACTTTATAGCCCTGAGCTCCAGGTGGGGAAATTGCCCAATTACCCTTTTTCTACAGTAAATTCCTCTGTTAAGTACCGCAGTTTACTACTGTTTGGTGGACTCTGGAAGATGAGTTCTTCAGGAAACTGCGTCCTGGAAGTTACTTTTCTGAAAGGTCTGCCCGAGCTTTGTGTTTCATCCCTTGTTTCTCTTCCTGCAGGCGGTTGGTGCTGCTGTGTGCTGTCCCCTGCCCGGGCTGGGGATGCCTTTTGGTGCCGCTGTGTTCAGAGAAGCCCATTCTTGGCTCAGTCAGGGGTTTCATTCAGAGCAACTGAAATGCAGTTTAGTTCAGAGGATGCTCTCTTGGTTCCTGTCACACTGGGGCAAAAATAATTTCTTGAAATAGAGCCACAATTTAACCTGTGGTGTTGAGCCACTTCCGTGTGTGAATACAAACTCATCCCACAAATACCCCATAACCACAAGCAGCCCCAGCCCTGACCCCTGTGCTAGGCACTGAAGATGCACGGCAGGGCAGTGATGCCAATAGTGCTGTTTTGCTATAAAACCAAAGATGGGAGAAGTGGAAATGTCTTTGGGCCTCAGTAGCATTCCTGTGCTCCAGCTCAGGTGATTCTTTTCCTTGTTGGTGTTGGTTTGTGGGCTGTCAGTGTTGGGCAGCTCCATGGATCAGTGAGCACAGCTCCATCACTGTGCTCCAAGAGCCATCCAGAGGGAGCCAAGCACTCAGGTAGGATTTCCACTGAAGGAAAGCACACTGCAGGTAAATCTGCCTTCAATACCATCTTTCCCAAGCAAAACCTAACGGCTGCTTGGAACACAGCTGGTTTAATAACAGCTGCTTCCCTGGGAATCGCTGGAGGAATGTATCAGCATTGCCATATTCTCAAGGAACGATTTTAATGGCATTTTGACAGGGCAATGCCTTACAACAGCCCCAGTAGTTAAAATGTTTATGGTGGTGCTTTGTGTGGTATTATGCCTTCTATTGGTATGGTGAAACACAGTGTGCAGATCGTTGGGTACAGGTGCTGGGAGGGCTTCGTTGTGTGAGCAGTGGGGAACTGTGCCCAAATGGAACTCCTGGTGTGTGTGCTGTGCTGCTGCTGAACCACACAGGACAGTTGTGTCCTTCCTCTGGAGCACAGAGTCTCTATGCCTCAGGTTCTTACAGAATGTTCTTACAGAAGGCACCAGGGAGGATGTTGGTTGGTGCCTGCAGATGCTGGTGGCTGTCAGCAGGGTGGTCCTTGCGTAGTGCTCCATCAGAGCCCTGGAGGTGGGGCCATGCTGATCACCGCCTGCTGAACCCTGAGAAACCAAGCTCTTCACAAGTGAAAACCTTTGCTTTCATTTTCTTTTTCTCCTCCTTTTTTTTTTTTTTTTTCTTTTCCCTTTTTCCTTTTTTCCAAGCACCTGCTAACACAGGTGCTCACACAGGTGCTTCCCCTTCAGCTCTGCTTGCTCAGTTCCCAGGTAGAGGGAGTGCTGCTCGCAGGTACCCTTGCCTTGTTCTGAGCCCCCTGCAGCACTGCCCTGCACTTGATGCCTTGTGCCCATCTCATCCAGGAGGTGCAGTGGCAGCAGCTGGGGGCTGCTCGGCAGTGCTGGAGGAGGGCTGGGCTGCGGGAAACATGCTTCAGGCTGCAGATACATCACAGCTCTTAGAAGAAGTCAGTGCAGCCCGAGTGGGAAGATGACTCAGAGGGTAAAACCCCAGGCTCATTGCACACAGTGGTCCTCTTGAACTCAGTGCTGCATGGACTTCCCCAGCAGAAATACGAAGAATGCACAGAGTTTCCATTCCTGTAGCTGTGCACTTCCCACAAGCACAGCCCGGTAGTTCTGGGCACAGCCTCCAACCCTGCAGCCTCATGGGGCATCACACGGTGTGGAGCTGCACGGGGCCCTGGGGCTGTGTGTGCTGCAGAGCAGTGCTCTGAGCAGTCAGTGTGTTCACTGCACTGCCTGGGAGCAGGGAGAGCTGGGGAAGAAGCACAGCCACGTGCTGATAAATAAAAACCCAGTGGGGATTTTGCATGTCGTTTTTGGAGCTCTGGGTGGGTGGGTGGCACCCAGGGAGGGCAGGCAGGGGTGCAGAGAGAAGGTCTGGGCATGGGCTGTAATGTGCTGTTCTTTTTTGTTGCAGATGGAAGAAAAACGACGGAAGTACTCGATCAGCAGTGATAACTCAGACACCACTGACAGTAAGACCTTTAATTTGAGACTTTGGGCGAGATAACTGAAGTGGTTCACCTCCAGGAGGGAAAGCGTTGGAATAATTACTTTGTAAAGAACTGAGGAAGCTGTGTTTGCCGCATTTGCTGGAGATTTGCTTCACAATGAATTGCACATGGGGTTGGGTTTGTCAGAAATGCAGCACTGATGTACAGCAGAAGCTGATAGCAATGGAGATGTCAGGCTGCGGGCTCCTTGTTCTGCTGGAAGTTCCCCACTCGTGCGGGGAGCTGTGCCATGAGCCCCATCAGCCCCCAGCTGAGCTGTGCTGGGAAGCTTCTGCTGGGGTCAGGGTGAAGCCCAAGCCTTCCTGTTCCCTTCCTGTGAGCTGAGGAGGGATGTGGGAAAAGGGACAGGGCTCAAGCCAGCAAAGCTTGCAAGCCCACGCTCGCTGTCAAGCACATACCTCACTTCATCCTCATTCGGCGGAGCGCAGAAGCATGTGCTCAACAATAAACATGTGCAAATGTGCTGAATTTTGGCTATAAATAGAGTGCTTTCCTCTCCCACTTATTGCAGGGCTTTGCCCGCTGCAGCAGCACCGCTGAACCACGTTGGGGGTTGAGGCATCTTTAGTCGTGGCATAAAATATCGTGCCATTATCTCTGTTGGACTTTGATACTTGTGCTGCAGGTGATAGTGAAGCTGTTGACAAATGCCCTGCAGGATAACTGTAAACAGAAGGATGACCTGTTTGCTGTGCCTTTGCCCAGGAGACGTGGTGGTAGTGGTGATCTAAACCTGTGTAATTGCAGTGCCACATGGCACTGGTTTGGCACTGGCTTATAGGCACGGTGTGGTTTAGCCCTCCAGTGGTAAAAGCAGTGCTCAGTAGACCTATTGACAGCCAATTTGGTGTGCTCCCAAAATACTGGTATGCATCTGGAGGGATCCAGTTGTACAGAAGAGGCCACCAGCAATTAGTTTATCATTTACTATCACCAAATGCTTTTTTTCTTGATGCTGGCAATAGTAGTAATAGTAACACAGGTGAGCTGGAAATAGTAATTAATAACAGAGCTCCCATTGCTTCAGCAGCCATTGCCTCACGGAGGTGGTAGCAGCAGTGGTAGTACTGCACGAGTCAGGACAATGAGAGTCCATTCATAATAATCCCAGAGTAAAGCAATCCCAAATCCCACAGCAAATACTCTCCTACTACTGATGTGTGCTGCTGTGTGCAGAGGGGGCTGCTGAGCTGCACGCAGTATGGAAGTTACTGATGCTGCTGCTGGCGAGGAGGTTTTATACTTGTGGTCCATATTTTTTTGCCAGAGTCTGAAGTCCTTGAGTGGTTCAGGGCCTTCACTTGGAGCATCCATGCTGGAACAGTTCAATCTCACTTCCCTGAGTGGCGATTCCAGGAGATCCCTGATTTCAGGAGCGTTAATCCCTGGCTTATTCCCTGATGGAAGCCATTTGTTCTTATGGCTTTGGGCAGTTCTGATGTCTTCTCTTGAGAACGGTTTTATTAAGTTCAAGGGGCTTTGTTTCATCATCTGCAGCATCAGGAAAGCGATGCTGATCTGTTCTGGTGAAGCACCCTGAGATGTGCACAGCTGTAATGCAACACTGGGGTTTATCACCTCCTACCATTGTCTTGGCTTGGGACTGTAGGTGCAGCAGTGACACAGACAGTGACACAGACAGAACTTGGTCTCTTGTTGGGTAACATCTCTTCTGCCTTCTTGCAGGTCACACCACGTCCGCGTCCAGATGCTCCAAAATCCCCAACACCAAATCCAGCTGGTCCCGGCAGAAGGAGAAGAAGCCCTCTGAGGTATGTGGTGTGAGGTGCTGCCCAGGACCTGATCTCCTGGTTCTCAGAGGGGCCCTGTTCAAGCATATGGGGTTTGGAGGTGACCCTATGCTGACGTCCTAAACTCGGCGCCCACCAGGTGCCCTTTGGCTGTGCCTTGCTGCCCTTGCATGGCTCCCAGGTCCATTTCCAATAGACATAGAAACTATACTGAGCACGAGCTGTTGTTGTAGCAACTGCTCTGCTTAGTGGCAGTCATCTTAATTCCCAGAGCAGTGTGAGCAAAGCCAGAGTGACATTGCTCACACGTTTCCATCCAGACCAGTGTCCAAACAGAGCTAAGTTTAGCTGAAGGTGGAGCTGGCAGGGCCACAGTCTCCTTGAATGCAGGCTGTAAATCCTGCCCCAGGCTGCTGCACTGTGCTGCTCCTGGGGCTGTGGCCCGGTGAGCACAGACCTTTGTAACATCCCCCCTTTGCTTTGAGCTGAGCAGAGATTTTGAGGTTTTCCTGTGGTCACTGCCTGAGTTACAGCTGCACTTAGTTTTTATCGCTGTGGCAGATTTACACTGATGTATCTAATGTGTTGGCAGTGGACGGGGGCTTAAAAAGCCCAGGTTGCTTGTGCCTTAAGGGCTGAGGAGCTGCTGTGACTGCTGAGGTACTTGGGAACTCTCCAGGGAACAAAGAGCCCATGTACAGGTGTCACTGCCTGCTGACAGCTGGGAATGTTGCTTTGTGGTTATCAACGTGTCTCTCAGAATGAGTGATGGGGGTTCTGTGAGCTGAGCCCCAGGTACAGAGACAATGTCTGGGGCATCTCCTCCTGCTGAGACACCATCACCCCTCCATGAGATGATATTAAGGATGGGGGTGAGTCAGTGTGCACCCTGGGGATGTTACTGGGCTGTGTCCAGGGCACCCAGCAGGGCATTAGGGCCTGTGAGGACCAGGTTTAGAGCGTGCAGCCCTGGAGCAAGCAGAGAGGAGCAAAGCTTGGCAGTGCAAGTGTTCTGGGTTCATGTAACAGTTGGGACAGAGTGATCTGCAGCAGCACTTTAGCACTGGAACTGCAGGGACCTGGGGAAGGCAACACGCAGTGCCTCATGCTGGAGATGGGCCAGGGCACTCAAGCTGACAAACCAACTATAAAAGTTCAGTGGGAACCTGAGCAGATGTGAGCTGTCTGGATCTCAGCTGGAGTTCCCCATCTTGCATCTTCCCTGTGGTTGCTGGGTGCAGTGCCAGCTGGGTTCAGCTCTGGGTGGAAGCCAAGAGCTTGGCTGGGCATCATCAGCATGGCCCAGGGCACACAGCAGTGGTGTGGAGGTCTCTTCAGTGAGGTTTGTGGATTTCCCCTACAACAGCATCTTCCAAACCATCCCCAGCTGCCTCATCTCCTGCTGTGGCATCTTGGACATGCTCTGCCTGGTGCTGAGTTGCAGCAGTGCCCGCATCTGTCCATTGGAAGTGCTGCAGGGTCTCGTGCAGGAAGATTTTTGGGCACAGAGCCGGGTGGGCATCCTGTCCTGGGATGGCACATGTGGAGAAGAGCAAAACCCTCAACATGCTGCTGTCAAGACTGCTTCACATGAAATAGCCAGGTGCCTTGATCATCTTATTGAGGATGGAGAAGGTAACAAGGAAAGCACAGTGAAGCTATTGGACATCACACCCTGCCATACAGCCTGCCTCAGTCATTTTGGGGTGGTGCAGCTGTTTCAAACACCAGTCTAGACTCAGATTTGCACGTGGTTTCTGGCTTTGCAAGGATCCAAGCAGCACTCTGTGCACTGCCAGCTCTCCTGCACAGGCAGCTCAGGCACAGCTTGGGATGCAGTGACAGTGGTGTTGGGGGACAGCCTGGGGACCACCCCCAACTTCTGCTGTCCCTCCCAAAGTTGTGTCCCAATTTCCCTGCAAGAGGGCTGGAGGCTGAGCTGCCATTTGCATTCCCCTGGCAACGTGCACAGGAGATAAAAAATCAGAAGCATTAGTGTTACATAGTTATTAGCTGGGTCAGGGGGTGATGTTTATTATGAAAGACTCTGTGAGAAGGGATTAACTATGCACATTAAAAACCACCCGATACGAGGCATCTGGAAAAACAAGCTTCTTAACATGGAAAAGTACTGAGCTGTTTGTAAACATCCGCGATGGTGGCCATTGCCAGGGAGGGTGATTATATTTATCTGTGCATGTCACAGGGCTCTGCCTGGGCTCTCTCCCGATGTGTCCCAGACATTGGGCTCTGTGAAAGCTCACAAAGGTGGCAGCCGTTCCCATGCCCACCAGGCTGCTGGCAGGGAAGCCTCAGGGCTGAGGATGGAGTGAGGCAGCTCCTTGCATCAGCAGTGCCTGATTGCATTAATCTCCTGATTGCATTTATCTCATTAGGGCTCATTCATCTCTGGACATGGGCTGGAGGGAGCAGGGGTTCCTGCAACCCCAAGTGCTGCTGCGCCAAGCAGTTCTGTGGGGTGCAGGGATGCTGCGCTCAGCTCCTCCTAGTTCTTGATGCTGAATCCGTAGCAGGATGAGATGTGCCTGAAGTATGGATTTTTGCTTCCCGTGCAATCCTGCCCCAGCTATAGGGCTGCGGGGACGCGACTATAAGCCTCGCTGGGTTTGATGGCAGCCATCAGCCCTCTATCCTGTTTCTGACAGGGAACAGTTGTCAGTGTCTAAGCAGAGGATATAAGAACAAGGCGAGTGTGTGATGATGCTCGCCGGTTACATCCTGCAGCTCCCAGCCGTCAGCGGCCTGGGGACACTGTTGGATGCTAGATCTGAGTCACTGCGTTAGCCAGGATGTTAGTCATTAGCTTCTGAACTATTTGTGATCCAGAGCGCTGCCACGAGCTGCACTGCTGGAATGCTTTGTGAGGGCAGAGGTACCTGCTGCCCCGGGTCGCCCTGCTGCCTGGCACAGCTCTGCTGTCAGCTCTCCCCGTGCAGCTGCTGCTCGTCTCACCCAGTGTCAGCACTGCCCCTCTCGCTCAGACCCATCCTGTTGGGGATCTCAGGACTGCAGCTGCATGCCGTCTTCAGGATGAGGGGGAAACTGTGGATTTATACAATTTACATTATTTTCTGCTTTCCTCCTTTAGATATGACTTCCGTGTTGGGAAAGATGTCTTTTTCCATCTCTTTTACAAGCACTTAACCCTTTTGAAACGCCCTCATTTTTATGTCATTTACCTTTTAGAAAGCTATTATTATTATACCAGTTCTCTCTGTGTTCATATCTTTTCCCATTGCAGTAGGTACATGCTGCTACAGGGCGCTGTGAATTTAGTCTCTGGGCTCTCCGTGCTTTCAGAAAGACTTTTGTAAGAGGCCATATGGCCAGGCAGGGCTGGATATACTTCTACTGTGCTGAATTAAGAGAAAATATGCCACTGCTGAAAGGTTGGACTGCGGTGCCTTTGTTGCTTTTCCCAAGCCAGCGTGGTTCTAACAGATTAATGCCATTGTCTTTTGAATGCTGAGAAGGGCAGGATGAAAATGCTTCTAGTTCCTATTTTAAATTCTCTTGTTCGTTGGGTCTTTAACATTCAGCATTTCAAGGGGAAACAAGAATAGATTAAGAGATAGCGGCCTGGATCCCAAATGAACATGAGAGTAAGTATTTTTCTCCCCACAGGCAGATAATATCACGGCTTACAGACACGCACCAGGCACTGCCACGTTTCTGAGCCCTGCTACTGCACATTGCTGCTCTGCTCCTTTTGGAACGGGCCAGAAGAGTGTGACAGAATGCCTGGGAAATGAGATGGGGAGGGAGCCGGGTGGGCAGCCAAGGGCTGGACCCGCAGAGGTGCCAGCTCCAGCTGATACGAAGACAGTTTGTCCAACCAAAAGATATTCCCAGGGCTCCCATTGTTCTCATTGTTTTCTCTTTCTCTCAAAATCCTTGTGACTCATGAGCTACAGCAAACAATTTTCTGCTTGAGAGAATGAAGGGCTCATCGCATCGCTGAAGGGAGGAGAGAGGCCTGCGAGGAGAGACCTGCGGGGATGGGTGAGACCTTGTGGAATGGGCGGTGATGGAGGAGTGGTGTCAAACCAGAACCCGAAGAAAACCTTTTGTCTGAGCTTCCAGAACTGCTTCATGCTGAGAACCATCGCTGCACAAGCACAGAAGAAATGGTGCTCAATGCTCCTGGTGCTGCTCTGGAGCCTGCAGGGATGCTGCTGCACGTGCTGGGTGTCGGAGAGGGCTGCCCTCTGCAGCGTGGAGCACTTGGGAGAGGTTCATTTTTGCAGTATCTTTGGAAGATACAAACAGCAATGTGCACAAACAAGAACCTGTACAAGGATTGCCACCACTGCTCAGAACCCGGCGTGGTCCCTGGACTCGCTGCACTTCTCAGAGCTAATTAAAAGCAGCGCTAGACGAGTGTTTCTTTAGATTTAAAGACCAAAACAGATTCAGCTTCTTGGCTCTCGCCCAGCAGCTGATCTCATATAAGTGAAAAGCAGTTAGTAAAGGATGTGAATCTGATGTTCTCGGGTCAGTATGTGGGGTTGGTGGGGTAAGTGGCAGCTTTGGCCCCGCTGTGTGCTCCCTCTAAAAGCACAGTCCTTGCGTTAAGTGGAGCTGAGCAGTGACGAGCTCGGCGCATTGCTGTGTTGAGGAGGTTTGTAGGTGAGTGTAAGGACCTTGATATTGGTATGGGGATCTCAGAGAGGCTGTGAAAAGGTGAGAAGACCAGGCTGATGGGCAGAGATGAAATGCAGAACTGGAGGAGGATGCTTTTTGTGCGGTGCAGCCCCACATTGAGCTGAGCCCTGGCTGCATCCCCAGGTCACAGGAGGGGACATTTGGGTTGCTGGCACAGCCACAAGAATACCCTTCTGGAGCCAGGCGAAGTGAGAAATTAGGATGTCAGAATCAGAAGTTATGTTGTTTCTCATTAATGTAGTCTTTGGTTTTAGTTGAGAGAGATCAATATGGTTTTTGCTTCACAACGGCGAACTACAGAAATAATAACAGAGATGGATATATCCTTGGGTAATACGATGGCTCTTGTATTGCATTGACTTCTCATGTTTCTGGACCTCTGGGATGGGCTGCCAGCCCAGCATCGTGTGTTGAAGGGATGAGGAAGTGACAGCGGCAGGTGATAAGGGGCCAGTGGGCAGCAAGTGACCTGATGGCCCTGTCACCCTGTGGGAAGTCACCACTGCCCTGTGTGCCAGCGGTGTGGTTGGTGCCCTGTAGGTCAGCTGGAACCCAGTGGTTCAGGAACATGGCAGAGGACAGATGAAGGTCTCTATGATGGGATTATTTCCTGGAGAAGCTGTTGTGCTGCTCGGGCAGCACATGGAAGGAGGTGGGTGCAGATGTGGCTTCTTCACATTGTTCAGAGGAGCATCATCCAGAGGTACCTGGTGCTCCCAAAGATCTGGGTGGTTCGTCCATGGGATGTGTATGGCAGGACTTGACTTAGCTAACCAGAGCTGCAGGAGCCTGTAACCCAATGGTCATGTTGGCTGGGTGTTTCTGGATGTAAGAGCTCTGCTGGCCATTGGAATCATATAGTACCATGAAAGCAAAGGGAAATAATTCACATCTGTAATTTTTGACTGCTGGTTCCATATGGTGTATGACACTTGGGCTGCTCGGTCCCTCTTGGTGCTGCCATTGGCTCCAGGTGCCACCAAGGTGAGCACCCACGGTCCCTGCAGCATGGCTGTGGCACAGGGCAGGTGGCAGCCGGGCTGCTGAGACAAATTGTGGGTTCCTGCGGGAGGGAGGAAACAGTAAACAGTGCTATTGAGGGAAAATTGCTTGTTTTCTGGTACACAACTTTCTCTTCACCGCCAGGTCCTCAGTTCATCAGTGCCCAATTTGCCCTTTATTTAGTTTTCATAAATAATTCAGAAGAGTTTGAGTAGAATAATTGAGTCTTTTCCCAACCCTAATCCCAGACAATTCAAAACAAAAAGACATTTAGATTACAATTTGTGCGTATTAGCTGTTGGGAGATTTCCAGACAACTGATCTGCTTTCCTTTACAATTTCTCTGGCGTTCTATCATTTCTAAAGTGTTCTGCTTTGATAGTTAATAATTTGAGCGTTTCCAGTTCTTCATGAAGAGACAGAGGCATCGCTGTGATAAAGTGCTGGTGTGCTCGCTGCCTTTGGAAGTGCGAGCTTATCTGTTTTCCAAGAAGGACTAAATAAATGAAGTGGTAAGATTGCACATCCAGCCCGCGATGCGCCTTATCATCTTTGGGGAAATAGATACAATCGCGCTTATTTGGCTTAAAATTAAAACTCTGCTTCTTCGGGGATGCGAGCTGAAGAATCAGAAGGGGTGGATTTGGGGAAGAGCCTGTGCTGTGCGGGGGGCAGGAGCTGTAGGGAGGGCTGTGCAGTGGTGAAGTGAGCGTGCAGTGTCCTGACCGGAGCGTGGCCGTGTAGCAGGGAGCTGCAGCAGGCTGACCTTGTTTTCTTCTTGCTGCCTTGCACACCAACACACAGCTCTGTGAGGATTATGACTTCTTGCATACTCCTCGTGCTTAATTAGTGTTGATCTTAATCTTTTTTTTTTTAATGCACTGACAGCATAGCAAAACGTTACCGTGGTGCTTGTAGCAAGGAATTTGGTGCAGTGAGAGGCTTAGAGGAATTTGATCTTTCTGACGTGGAGCCCCTGTGTGACTGCAATATGGAGGCTGTTGGTTGTGTTCATTGAGGGATGTGCTGGAGCTGTGCCTGGGTGTCTCAGATCTGCTTTGCAGGGATGTGGGCAGCGATGGGATGGAGGTACCTGCACAGTTCCAGGAGGTCCCAACATAGAAAAGGTCGTTTATTGTATTTAACTCTAATTGGGTTATCAGCTGAGGCCCTGGGGATTAAACAAACTGACCTAAATCCCAGTCTCAGTGGTCTTAGTTAATGTCTGGTTTCCTGCATCTTAGCTGATTTAGTTTCCAAAACACTCCAAAGAGTGTTATCATTGAATTGAAAATGTAAAACCATCCTGTGGCATCAACTGTGGCTCTCACAAAGCAGTCCTCGATCCGAGGCCGACACTGCAAACAGGCAAAGCAGCACTGAAGGAAACACCTGGTCCGTCCCAGCTCTGCAGAAGGAGCAGTGCTTGGAGCTCCGTAGTGTCCCAGTCTGGCTGCTGGCATCATTGACATCATTGCAGCTAATAGCAGATGGCAGAAAGGAGAAACCATCCATTTTCATTTATGATTTATTTTTACCCTGCAAGAGACAGGATTGCTCGTGCCGTTGCTGTCAGGCAGTCCCCTGGAAGGAAAGCCTTATTTACTGCAGTGGGTTATTTTGGAATGCTTTTCTCATTGCAGTGCATTGGGGGAAGGCTCTGCAGGGCCAAATGAGAGGTGGGAGAGAGCCCGTTCCCTGCTGTGTCTGTCCCCAAGCGGGTTTAGTGGGTCAGGAGAAATCTCCGCGTGTCTGGCTGTGGGCATGGACACAGGCATCTATATCACCATTTAGCCAGAGATTTTCCTGTTCACTAAGCAAACAATTTTTTTCCAAGACTGTAAACTCAGCTTCGCCCTGGGGTATGAGGGAGACAATGAGCAAGTGAAATGGCGTTACAGCTCAGCGATGCCTTTGTGTTTCCACCGACCCATCAGGCGGCTGGGAGCCCATCTTAACAGACCAGCTCCAAAGTCCTCACCCAGCCCCAGGGTGGTTTTCCATAGCCGTGGCTCCAGCTGTGGCCAGAGCAGCAGAGCTGCAGGTTTGTTGTGGGGATGCTCTGATGCTCTCCACTGAAGCACTTCTGGAGACGGAGTTGCTGTCAGCTATTCCCATATAAATCTCTCCAAATGCCTTCTGTTGATTCCAGTAACATCTGGAGTTACCTGCAGGTGTGCAGTGCCAAAACTGGGGCAGGGTCACCCAGTGAGGTGGGCTGTGGTTGTGCAAAAGCTGCTCATCTCCTTTTGTGTCAAGAATAAGGGGAGCATCTCCTGCCCCAGTGAAAGTGGTAGAAAGCCCATTGCTGTGAGCACCTGGGAGAATGCAGCCCATCACGGCGTCAGGCCAACATGGCACATCTGTCACACTGTTGCCCACGGCAATGCCCCAGTTCCTGCCCTCCACCCACTTGTTGGTGTTTTCCCTTTGCAGGTTTTCCGCACGGACCTGATAACGGCCATGAAGATCCCCGACTCCTTCCAGCTCAGCCCTGAGGAATACTATGTGCTGGCAGACCCCTGGCGCCAGGAGTGGGAGAAGGGTGTGCAGGTCCCAGCCAGCGCCGAGGCCATCCCTCAGCCCGTGGTCAGGTAAGCAGCATCCCTGAGCCTTGTGTGCTCGTGGCTGGGGGGGTTCTGAGCTGGGAAAACCAGAAGGAGGCTGTGAAGATGATATTAGGTTGGATATTAGGAATGATTTCTTCTCAGGAAGAGTGGTCTGGCATTGGAATTGGTTGGGGTGTTCCAGAAACACGGAGATGTGGCACCTGGGGATGTGGTCAGTGGGTGTGGTGGGATGAGTTGTGTTGGACCTGGGAATCTTAGAGGTCTTTCCCAACCATAATGGTTCTGTGATTCAGTGCTCAGAGATGTGGAGCACCTGTCCTATGGAGAAGGGCTGGGGCGGTTTGGCCTAGAGAAGAGGGGAGACCTCACTGCAGCCTTCAGAACTTGCGGGGTGCTTGTGGACAGAGGGAGGGTGACTTTTTGCATGGACAGTTAGCAATAGGACAAGTGGGGATGGCTTTAAATTAAAAGAGAGGAGATTTAGATTGGATATTAGGAGAATATTCTTTACCCAGTGTTGGAGAGTCACTGGCACTCCTGTGCAGAGCTGTGGATGCCCCATCCCGGGGCAGTCTGGGCTGGGGGGCAGCCAGCACGTGCAGGTGGGACTGGGGGGTTGTGTGGTCCCTTCCAATCCAGCCCCATTCTATGGCTATGATGGAGCTGTATATCACGATGGGGGGGTGCAGGAGCTGGCCCCTAAATTAAAAACTTCTGTGAGCTGTTCTTATGTGTTGCAAATGTGATGGGGATGCAGAGATTGGAGGGCTGGGGAGCCCAGCATTAGCCAGGCATCTGCGGGACTTTGTGCTGGCCTAGATCGGTGCCTCATTAGCTATTTTAAAATGGGGAAGTTTAAAGGAGACAGTAAAACAGCTGCTGAGGCACAAAAGAAACGTGAGCGAGCCACTGCCCCATCACAGTGATGGCTGAGGATGCTGTGGGGGGAGCATGGGGAGCCATGGCACAGGCATTGTGCTGCTGTAGGGTGGGTTGGGGCCATACGCTGCTTACCATGAGGGATTTGGGGCAGCACTAGTCCCGTTGAGGCTCCATTTGTCCACAGCTGCTCTTGCAGCTGCCAGCCCCGGGTCTGATGCAAAGTTTTGTGTATGCCCCCCATCCCCCCCAGCTCTCCCCAAGGGAAAACAGACAAAGAAATGAAACTTTAATGAGTCTGAACACATCAAAAGGGAAGTTGTAAAGGGGGATGTTGAGTTGATTTAATCCTTAAAAAAAGGGGGGGGGGGGAAGGAAAAACAAAAAAAGAAGCAGCAAGTGGAGTATCTTTTTAAAGTTGTCTTTGATAGCTAACCGCAGTCTCTGCTCACTGAGTGCTCTGCTCCCCAGCTGAGGATCGTGCTGGGGCTATTTCCAGCTGAGAAGTGATAGCTTGGCAGTGCCCGGCTGGAGGTGCCCTTCTGCAGCTGACCCCAGCAGCATCTGCATGGCGATGCTGTGTCTGCTCCTGGGTAGCCAGCTGTGAGTTCTGTGGGCAGATCACACCTCTGTCTGCTCCCCTCTCCTTGTTTCCAGGGTTCCTGAGCACTGGCAGCTCCATCTTGCTTCCTGTAGGGTTTCTTTGCAGACCAGAACCAAATCACAGAGGCCTTCTGCTCACGTTGCTCTGTCTCTGTGTGGGTCTCTGGCCAGAGGACAGCTGCCTATTTCCCACCGCAGCAAGATGAGCTCATGGCTGTGCAGGTGCCTTTTGTGATGCATCCGTCCCTTTTCTGGCAAGGCAGCACACATGGTGTGGGGGACTCTGTCCCTCTGATGGCATCACTGCCCTAAATCCTACATCAGTTAGTGCTGTGGGCTGGTGATGCATATAGCTTTTTGCAGGCTGGAAGCTCAGAGCCCAATGGTTGCTGCTCCTTCAGGGTAAGATCTGGCACAGCCCTGAGTGCAGCACTGCCAGGGGCAGCATTTTGCTTTGTACCACATCTCAAAGTGGTGTAACAGAGCATTGCCCATAGAAGTGGGGGGAAATGCAATGAAAGGGGCACTGCACAGAGCAGCTGCTCTTTTAATCTCTTGCCTGGGTGCTCAGAAGTGCACTCTTCCTCCTCGCGCCTCGCCTCTAGGTTGTGCAAATCCAAAGCTGAAAATGAGATTTTGAAACGTTTTATTTTGCTGGAGCTCTAAAATGTCAAAGCTGTGGGTGAAGCAGGAGGGGAAAGCGCTTTCTTTTAAGGCGTGCTTTCCTCAGAAAGCAGTTGCCTGGAAATGCCTTCGCTGAGAACCACCTTAACACGGGGTCCATTGCAGACTGGTGTGAGCCACAGAGGAAGAGCATCCTTTGGCCCCATGTCACTGTGCTCTGGTGCCCAGGGCTGGATGCCATCAGCCATGTGGGTGCTGCCTGCACAGCAGGGCTGCTGGGCAATGTGGAACATTGCATGCTTCCTCACCACAAACCTGACTCATCAGTGCTTAAAAGGAGGTTCATTTTATGCAGCGGCTTGCTTGGGAATTGCCCACAGCCTGAAGGGCAAAGATTGGCTCTAAAAGCCATTGAAAGGCAAATGAGAGCAGGGAAAATGAGGAGTTAGTTTCTCCCAAGAGTGGTGTTTCCCATTCCTCTGGGTCCCATAGCCAGAAGGTGCCCTGGGCTGCCCAGTAGCAGGGCTGAGCCATGTAGCCCCAAGGGTGGGTTCACTGATGGGGGAACCCCAGCACAGTCATTTCCAAGGTGCTGGATGCAGAGTGGGGCCATCACAGCTTGAGGTTAAGGGTAAGCAAGTAAGGAAACAGCACTGAATGCAGTTATCCTGGTGGTCTTGGAGTGTTGGAGTGTGGTCATCAGCTGGGAACAAGAACCTCTGGGGCAACCAAAGTTGCTCTAGGGAAGGTTCAGGTTGGGTATTAGGAAAAATTTCTTCTCTGAGCAGTCAGGCCTGGACACAGACTGACCAGGGAGTGGGGGAGTAACTGTTCCTGGAGGTGTTCCAGAGCTGTGGAGATGTGGCACTTAGGGACATGGTCGTTGGCCGTGGTGGGGATGGTCTGGGTTTGACTTGGGGATTTGAGAGATCTTTTCCAACCTCAGTGATTCTATGGTTTTATGAGCTCTCCCTTTCCACAGCTATGCCACGATGAGCTCCAGAGGAAGATGCTCTTTGCTTTCTGCATAGTTTCTTATATGGGGGTGCAGAGCCTGACCCCAGCTCATCCTGGTGCACTGGGAGCATCGTTCCATGCAGCACTGGCACCTATCCCTGGTGCTGTGCACCTGTAAGCCTTTAGTTCCTTATTTACTGAATCGTTTAACATCTCCCTTCCCTGAGCTGACAGGGATGTGGGCAGGACCTCGAGGCGGCTCTGGGAGCTCACATTAAGCTCCATCAGTATGTGCTGTATACTCCGCTTCCTGTGAATGTGCGCACAGCGGGAGGACGAGCAGGAAGGCTGCTTCTTGCTGGCAGGGTTCCCAGATATTCTTGGCGTCGCAGATCTCTCCTTGCATCGTTGCTGTGGCCCTGTTTGAACAGAAAACAGAAAGTGCTGTGGCAACAGGAAGGCACAAACGCTGGTGGGGGGTCAATGGGAGAGAGGATGAACAGCTGCTACACCATCCGGGCGGTGATGTGACCGTCCCCTTTGGTTCCCTCTGTCCCATATCCTCCAGAAGCACAGCTGCAGGTGGAGTTGAGCTCTGGCTGTACTGCGTGGTGCTGCTGTGGGAGCCCTGGGCAAGATGTGGGGCTGCCTGGTGTTGAACCCAGGAGGTGCCCCAGCATCTCCTGCAGTTCTGTTGGAGTGTGGAGCCTGCACACTGCGCCCCACACTGCGCTTCCTTCCCTCCTTCCTCCCATCCTTCCCTCCCTCCCTCCCTCCCTCCCGCAGCCGGCTGCCTGCTGCCTGTTGACTCATCAGCAGCTTCCCTCGGGCTTTGCTGCAGAAGGGGCAGGCAAGATTCTGCAGCACTCTGTGTATCTCTTGGAGCTGTGCTGTTGTTTTAACATGAGATGCCTGGGTTGTATTTTTTTGTTTGTTTGTTTTCCCACCTACTTCTAGCCTGTGGTGAAATTGTGTGAGCTCACGGCTCCATCAGGTCCATGTGAGTGGGTTCCTGTCTCAGGAGCTGCAGCCCCAGTGGGGTTGTCAGGTTTTGGGGTCCCCGCTATGGGAGAAAAGCACAGAAGCATCATCATGGGCTGGGGCACAGCGCTGATTTTGTATCCAGTGCTTGGAGAGGGGATGAACATGATTGCCTGCCTTTGTTACTTGTAATAATAATTTCTGCTTTACAATTGCCTGCTTGACAAATCCTCGGGTATGCTTTCAGCGAGTTCTCACCTTTATCAGTTTGCTATGGGAAATGTGCTAATCCAGCATGTTCTTACCTAGTGCTGAGCCACTTGGACTTCTGTTCAAAATGTTTGCTTGTTCTCCCTGTGGATGTCTGCTTCTTGCTGGATGTGGCACTTGGCATATCCCAGCAGTAGATGTATGGAAGGAGAGGGCTGGTTTCCACCACCCTTGAGGAGCTCCGTGGAGTCTCCGCATCTCACTCCATCACCTCCCATCTCCATCCTCTGCCTCATCCCTTCCCCACCCAGAAGTGGATCTGAGCTCTGCTGCACTAATTACAGCCCCATCCCTTCGTTATTGATTAGTGCATCTTGCAACCCTGCTGAGTAAGTTGAGAAGCTCTCAAGAGCCCCTCAGAGATGTGAGAGGGCCGGGACAGTCCAGCAGCAGTGATGATGGGATCAGCTGTTCTGTGCCCAGAGCTGTTGTTGGTAACCCCACGGAACTGAGGTGAGAGCTGCATTTCTGTGAGCTGAGCTGAGCCCGCAGGACCGTGTCCACTGCACCTGGCTGAGCTGAGGGAGAGCTGGTGGTAGATTGGAGTTTCTGCAGTGCATTTGAAGAGGATCTGGAGGATGCACCGAGGCACATCAGTGTTGCTTTGCAGCAGTGTGGTGGTGGGAAGGCAGAGGGCTCCTCCTGGCCTCCCTCCTCCTCTGGTGACTCAGATCTGGAACTGTCCTCCTGTGTTTCAGGGTTCAGTGTTA